GCCTTCGAGGTCGATTGGTGTTGACGGACCGTCACCTAATTGCTGGTGCTCTTGAACGACTCAAACCATCCGCAAGGTCCTGGCCGCGCGGCACCGTATGAGCCGACGTCGCAATTTCGAGCCGACGTTGTTGTTGCGTCTAGCGCTGGATGCCGCTAGCAGTGTGGTATCGTGGTGTGCTGTCGGCGTTGCATTCATCGCGACAGAGCAGTCGTAGTCCAAGCCACGGTCGCGAGTAACTGGTATCATTCTTGATGTTGCTGAATCGTCGCCGAGTTGTTGAGTCGAAGCTCCGAACGCGCTATCTGACGCCCCAATCGCCGTCGAGCGAGGCGCGGCGTGCCATACCGTATCGAACCGACCATAGACCTGGCCCCCCGCCGAGATGAGGTAGCGTTGATCTGGCCGTCATCGTACTCGTTGTCAAGTCGCTTCGCGTTGTGTTGGACGGCGCCATCGTTGCAGTAGTGAAGCAACAGTGAGCCGGGCCGCCGCCATAACTAAGCGGTGTCGGGCCGACCGCCATCGATATCGAGTCGTGACGCGCCGCTGCCGCAGTTACAGCATCCGCTTGCCGGCAATCGGGAAGACGCGCGTAGGCGGCGTGGACCGAGCCGCCGTCATAGTCATCACCGTACAGCGCCGTGTCGGATCCTCGCCGCAGGCGTCATCAGCCGGAACTTGCATGACGTCATGCGGTGTCTCGCTGGGTCGTTGCGGACGACGCCGGCGGCGCTTCCACTAATGGACCTTGCCTGAGCTGCCACCGAGACTAGGCGGTGTCGTCGCTTGAGCCTTCGGCGTGACCGTGACCGTGCAGCGCCGCGTTGGGGCAGCGCTACCGCAGCCGTGGTCTGTCAGGCGGTGACTGAGGTGTTCCGTGAGCCAGTGATGTCGATCCCATCGTCGTTGATCCTGCCATTGGGCAGTGCAGTGATGTAACCAGCCATCGTCGCCGTGAGTGACGTTGGGCAATGTCTTTCCGTATCGTTGTGAGCTGACACCGGTAGTGTTACCGCTGAAGGGCATAGCCCGCGCTCCACCGAGACTAGGCGGTATCGTTTGAGTCGTCGCTGTAACTGTAGTCGTAACGCCTCATCTATGGAACCGTCGGCGTCACTGGACTGCCAGCGTGGACGACACCGCGCCGTCGGACAGGGACGTTTAGAGCCGCTGTCATCGTTGTTGACGCCGAGCGGCGTTGTCCGAACCGCCGCCTGGAGTAGGCGGTGTCGACTTCACCGTCGCCGCAGTCGCTGTAGCTGTCCCGAGCAGCGCCGCGTTGATGGTGCGCTGCCGTCGTCGATGCCGAGCCGTGTTGCCAAACGACTGCTGTGGCGAGCCTTGTCGACCAAAACGTCGCCTCATCTGGTCCTAGCGTCGTGTCGTGCCGAGCTGCCGTCCTTGTGGCCACTTAATGTCGATCTGGCAGCCGACGTTGCCCAGTTCCTGTCGTTGTCGCCGAATAGACGTTGGCCGTGTATGATGCTGTACGTGGTAGTGTTTCGACGAGGCTTGTGGGAGCTGAAGAGAGGTATGGCCCCAAAGATCGCTTACGGCTGAGAGGCTGAAAACACGAATGCTAAGCTATCGGGGCTATGAAGCGCCCGCCTACTAACGTTCTATCCTCTATCTATAGCACGGATCTCATCGGGTCTTTCGCTTGCTCGACCTTTTGCGCAAAACGCTTCTTCCACTACTTGGAATCGTACCCTTTGGCATGAGTCGAATAGATGACGAGAACTCTAGTGACAGCGACAGCGATCGCGGCAGGCACTACTACAGCAACAACACCATATACCCGAGTG